GACAGTAAAATAATATTTTGTAATGAAGATTCTGGGAAAATGACAGAGAGGAGGTAGATTAGATTTCTTTTACCACATTTGCATCCAGTGATCAAAAATACTGGTTAGAATTGGTGAATAATGACTCTTGCAGTGGATGACGGCATCTGTAGAGAGCCAAAAATTTGCTGACTGAACGTTGCTTTTATAGAAATTCATATTGTGCAGAATTAAAAACTGTTATGTTGCATGTTGCTATGGATAATTTGCTCAAACATGGAAGGAAACATTTCCTCTCTGCCTTCCTACCTCTTTTCCTGTTCTGAAAAATGGGATATACTAAAATATATCAGATTGCTAAAAAGAGATGTAGGGAGGATATGTGGAGAAAAGGATTTGATTCCTGATGTTTACAGAACACAAAGGCCTGTGTTCATAGATAGATTCTTAGAATATTTCTGTTTAGCATCAAGTGAGATAAGTCTTTTGTTTCCTTCAAAACAAAACCCAAATATATTGACAGTGGATATGAATTGTGCTTTTTAAAGAATTTTTGTATATTGTTTCCTTTTATAAAGCTGCCATAATTTACTGATAAAGTTATTGTGTGTTCTGTTCTAATTTTTAATTGCTCAACAAAATAGAAAATGCATAGAATCAAACTTTCTCGATATATTAAAAAAACCAACTGTTGGCCCTTCTGTTTATTTAAATAAAATATAAAAGACAGTAAGACAGAATTTTTTAATACCTTAAAGAAAACAAATTAGGTAATAGAGAGAAGAACAGTTTCCTGGGCCTAAATATTCTTTGATGTGAGGGAAAGGAGATGCATTCCCTTCATAAGCAAAATAGGAGGAGGGTAAAGAGGTGTGTGTAGTTGAGGGTTGGTGTGTTTGGTTTTTTTTTTTTTGAAAGTATGAGTGATGGAAAAGTTTAGCTATGCAAAGAATAATATTAAAGCTAAAAGTGCAGATTAGTAATATTTCTATTAATTTATACACATCTTTTGGGGGATGTTACAAAAGATGAGAATCTTTCCCCGTTCTCACTACTGGGGGAGTTCTGAATCTAAGTGTAGGCTTTTAAAGTACCGCAGTTAATCACACTGGCAAACTAATGATATCTTTCATCAGTGTATTAATGTTAATCATGCTTCTGCCCTCCCTTCCCTTTGTATGTTAGGATGTGTATGAATATTTATTTCAGTTTATTGTTGGTGTGTTGTTTTGTTTGTTTGGTTGGTTTTTTTCCCCTCTCCAATTGGCTTGATTTTATAGGTGTAGCTAGCTCCATGGCAAGAAGTCAAACCCTCAACTTGGGTAAATACTCAAGTCACTGCATATGAAAACTGAAGTTTTCTTTGCAGCTTTGACTTTGCTCCATTTTGTTTGGGGAGGGTTTTGGGTTGGGTTTTTTTGTTTGTTTGTTTTAAACCTTCAGTGCTCTTGAAATTTTGTGTAATTTTCTATGTTATGTGAGATGTTAATGTTCAGCATCCTCTATTACACTACATCAAGGTCATGAGCAGAATGTGTGTAATGCAGTTCATACATCTGGTAACTTCTGGCAGAGAGGAGGTTGTCTCTGTTCTTGAGTATCTGCAGTAGCTAGTTATTATCTGTGACCTGTGACTCTTTTTAAAGACCCTGCCTGAGGAAAAGGTTCTCTAAAATTCAGATACATTAGTATTTCATTAACCGGTCTTAAGTTAGAGTTAATCTTCTATGATGACTTCCATTAGGAATGTCCAAATGTGTCCACGTTTGTATTTTGTAACAAAAAAAGCTATGAATTAATATTCCATAAGGTAATAATCATGGTTTTTTTTTTTATTTAGGTGAATTTGTGTTTGTTTCAGATTACTATATTTAGAGATCTGTGGCTTTCAGAATTTAAATTGAAAAGAACAGTTCAGAAGTTGTTAATGTTTAAGCAGCAGGTAGACAAGAATATCTTAGTGATTCCATCCTACGAAGAATGGCAGTTAACTAGGAAGAAAAAAGCATGTTTTTACTGTTTACATGGACTGTCACATGTAAATCTGAGGACAGATGTCAGAATAATTTAGCAGACAAAAGCACAGCTACTTCCGAGTCTTTCAGTATCTGTGCTGATAAATACCTGTCATAGTCTGAAAACCTTGAAAGCTTGTGATTTATCAGTACGTCAGGAAAGCAAGTTTTACAAAAGAATAGCAAATGACACTTCTTTTAGGAGCTGTAGAATATCTGTTTGTTTGTAAATTAAATTTTGTTTCAAATTAAATTTTCTAATATGTAAATTTTATTTCTAAGCAAAAGACTCATCATAGATGTTAATTGACTTTGTATGTGTATTCATACTTCTATTTTTACTCTCTGTAACTTTTTCTATCTAAGTAGGTGTTATCTGTCAAGTGTTCAAGCAAGGCTCAGATATAAAAACATCCATTCCTTTCTAAACATAATTTTAAATTAGATGTGACATATGTATGTGTTACATATGTGTGTGCATATGGGTAGACAGATAGTTGTAGAGAACATACAAAAAAGGCGAGTTTGATTACATGGAAATCTGGAAATCAGATTTTATTAATTACTTCTGTAAACTGTTTTGGTGTTGCACCAACTTTTGAGTGCCTTGCCCTAATGGAGCGGTAACTGCGGGGGGCAGGAAACCCCACTTCTCTTTCAAAAGTTGATAGGAGAAATGATTGGCTGTGGTTGTATGGTTGCAAGATGGGTTTTAAAAACAAACAAAACCCAAATAAGTAACACAAGCCCCCCTCAAAAAAAAAACCCCCACCACATCAAAAAACCAAAACAAACCACAAATAAACAAGAAAAGAACCCACCACCACCACCACCACCAATTCCCCCCTGCCCACCTCCCCCCAAAAAACCCCAGCCAAACATCCCAAACCCGTTACCGTTCACGGAGAGCAAGGTGATCACGGGTCGTGAGGAGTTTCTTTGTGGCTTTTTAGGTGTGTCTTCTCAGAAATGAGATTTCTGAACTAGAAAGCGCTAAGGAAAAGCGGTGTGTCTGTGGTTTGGTTGGAGCGTTTGATGGCAGCACCTTCGATGTGAGTGTTTGATCACTTGCATTTTAAAACAAGTCTCTTTAGAATTTTCAGTGTTTTCAAGAGAAAAATTCCCAGTAATGATTAAGGATATCTGACAGACTAAAGGATGGCAAGTTAGATCTGCTGGGTTAAAAGACAGTGGAATGTACTTTTAGTCTTCTGGTCAGCTTTGCCAAGAGTTTGGTTTTTCTTTGTACGCTATTGTACAATGTACAACAAAGGCATCTTCCTAGAAAGGATAATGAAGTCTTTGGGGTTTTTTGGATGTCACTAATGTTTAGAAAAAGTCACAAGGTTTTTCTTGGAAGAACTGTGGATATTTTAGGTAGCTTGTGTACTTTAGAATTGACTAACCTTGACATTAAACTACAGCGGGGAAATTATTTTTCTTGAAGCACAGACAATGCTGAAGCTTACTGAATCCAGTTTTGGTTTGCAGTTCCATCCGTGCAGTTCTGCTGAAACCAGTGCAATAGAAATCAATGTAGCTTGCTTATATCACAGTGTGTGGTTTTACTCCTTTTCCAAGCCTTGATAAAAGAAATGTTATATATATATGTGTGTGTGTAATTTTTTAAATTACTTCTGTCATTTTGGGATCACAGACATTTTTAAGTCAGGGTCAGGGCGCTCTGTTTTTTTCCTACTTGTCTTGTAGCTATGGAGTATGGATTAATGGCAGGGTACTTACCTGGCACTGGATAAAGGCAGACTGGAATTTACATCTCCAATTATGTCTTAATAAGTTGCAAATTGAGCTGATGTTTGTAATTTTAATCAAGTGATAATTGCTGAACTAATTTTGTCCCTGACTGGTGATGTATTTAATGTCAAAGACGGTGCGTACTGTTAATTTCTCTAAGTTCCAATTGAAGAAAAGTTTGAAATGTGTTGATAGATTTTTACATATTAATTTAAACGTAGTAAAAGTAAAATAGGCTTGTTAAAAGTGGCATCTGAGTAGGTGTAAGATCTAGGTAGTTTTTGACAGTAATCTGAATAAACTTTGTGGTTCACTAGAAAAAAAATGGTAAGTAATGAACAATTTTTCAGGCACTGATACCACCTAGTGGCAAAAAAATCTTGTTACTTCTTTACATAATATGTATTGAAAAAAATACGAAGTTTGTGTCGCATATAAAAGGAGGATTAAACTGTGTCTTTTGTAACATGTACTCATGCGTAGTACTGCAAAAGCTGTTAGAGAGCGGGCAGCTAGAATTTGAACACTTGCACTTCACTACTTGGTACAGATGGGGTGGTTTTGATACAGTTGTAAACATATTTACTCTGTCCCATTTAAAAAAAAAAAAGAGCAATTTCATTAAATGTACAACTGAATGAGGGTAATGGGGACTTTGTACAGGTAAAAAGAAAACAGGTCCTTTTCGATGTGTGCGTGTACACATCACAAACGTATGCCTTTGGAATAGAAGTTTGAATTCAGGTAGCATTAAGGGTGTAGCTATGGGTTGGGAATTCCTGGCAAGATGTTGTCTGGGATGGGATCCCAGAAGTGGTTCAGAATGGATCTGCAGAGTCCCTCCTGTGGGCACAAGGAGGGGGTGAGGCATGGTGGGGAGCGACGGGGAGAGGCTGCAGGAAGGCAGGGCTCCCGCTTCTGGAGGCAAGACCAGTGCGTGCCAGGCGATGATGACTACAGTGTTGGTCACTTGGTATAATGCAATCCGTCAAGATTGGATTATGGAAATGACGTTGCTAAGTAAAATATTGACCAACTGCTCTTTAAAAAATGCAAGCCTTTAGCTCTTTCAATTACGGTAGTATGTGAAATCATCTTTCATTTCTTATCGCCAGCTGATGTAGGTCCAGTAGAAAAGTTAGATTTATCAGTGTAACACCTGTAAAGTGACTGTTAATGTGTAAGAGAGTAACTTAGACAATTCTGACTGATGTATGTAGACTGTTTTATTTTTTCCCTTTTCATTTATAGGTACTTGTTTCACAGTGGCAATCCAGAGCATCCAGGAGACATACTTCTAAACACAACTGTGGAAGTTTTGCCTTTTCAGGTATGAATTTATTGATTTGTGTCTTCTCCATTATAGGATAAAAGCAAAACCTCCTAATTTTATTGACTTTTTTTAACAGAGTGGAGAGACCTGAATGCTTCTTTTTTTTAACTGTAGGATCTTGATGCTCTGATGCGCTCATACTTCTTTTTAATTGGATCTATTCACAGAAAACTCTAACTATTCAGATGTTCATTCAGAGTGCAGTCTGCTACAAGTGCTGTTGGTAATTTGGAGGTGAACAAGCTCGTTTTCTTCCAATTCACTGCTACTATTTAAAACAAAAAACCAAACAATCTTCCCTCTCCTGTGTATTTTGGCAAATGGGAAACCTAAGTCAATCTGCTTTTTGACTTAATAAAGAAGTCTTGGCTTAGGAATTGACACACATTAAAACCTTACTGGATATTGAAATATCTGGACTCTTAAACTGAATGTGTTCCTTTCTCCTGATTACTGATATTTTTTTTTTCCCCCATAAATCGGTCTGAGTTTTATCTCAGGAGGGCACTGTGCTATCTAAAGTATAAACCTGCTTGAAGCCAGATGGTATGGGTTCTTTTTCTTCAAGTAGGTATTATAGCTAACCATTTCTATCACAAAAGACTATGAGAGGATGAAGAGATTACTTCAGACAAGTTTATTTTATTTAGTATTAAAGTAGGAAAGTATTTCTATCTTCTCCCATACACCTGGTATAGGTATCTTGAAATCTGTGCCTAAATCGCCGTATGCCGACTCTTTTTTTTTTTTTTTTTTTTTTTTTTTTTCCTTTTTTAAAAGTAAATGATCATGGAGGAGTTCACTTTTCATTCTTGGCAGTCTGCCTTCCTGGGAGTGAGAAAAAATAGGAAATTCTGACCACCCCCATCTTTAAAAAGAAGTTTGTCAGTTTGATTCTAATTATACAACATGATATGTGGGATATTATATCATATCATGAGATTTATGGGTTTTGTTTCTCAAGAGCTTTGGAAATATATTCAGCCACAAAACCAGCAGCAACCCTCACTTCATCTGTGCCCAACATTCTGCAAGAATGCACAAGATAATGAGGAAAAAAGTGCATCAAGTGTCTCTTTTTTTTGACGACACTCGCCTGAGAAATGTCCCTCATACTAAAGCATCCCTTAAGGAAGTAATGCTACTGAGCTTCTATTGCTATGGACACAATCTGTGGAAAGGTAAACAGGAAATTCTGCATCTGGCCCATTCCTAAGCCATTGGTGTCAGCAGAAAATGTCACCAATATGAGGACAGCAGCTTGCAGAATGATAGGTACTCTCCTGAGGGAACTATTTCTCCACCATGGACTTCAGTAGAGCTGGAAGCCTGTTCAGGTACTTCAACCCTGATCCTCCCTAAGCAGAATTCAGAAAAAGAAAAAATAACCCTTAGAAGCCAGAGTGACCCCAGACCAGATTTGTCTGGGACTCAAGCAACACACTCAAACCAAACCAACAACAAACAAAACAAACAAACACCACCACCACCACAAAAAAACCCAAAACACCCCCCCCTCCAAGAAAGAAAACCCCAAACCAAGCAACCAACCAACTCCAAAAAACCCTTTAAAAAAACCCTACCTCAAAACCAAAAAAACCCCACCACTGTGTCAGCAGCCTCCCTTAAAAGTAGGAATAAAAAACCCCAAAGCTGATGGATTTAATCTCCGGTTTTGTGAAGCGTTTTTAATTGATTCCTAGGAAATTCTTACAGTGGGTCTTTTAGTATTGGATCATGTGATTCTGGTTGTAATTTTTCCAGCTGTTTTTGAAGCTCTGGTCTACAATTTGATTTGTCTGTGCTTATTAAAGAAGTGTATTGATCCCCATCCCTTTTTAGTGAGGCAGTGACAATTGCAATGCTTCCCTTGCTGGTCTGATGGCTTTTCATCTCGCTCAAATTCTTACATCAAAAAGTAAGCTGTAAGTTTCATTTGTCCTGAGAGGAATCTCTGGTTCAACCATAGGAAAAGAAGGCAAGATCCTGCGTTTGCTTTTCTTCTGCTGTGTATGCCAGTACCTGCTATGTATTCTGTTCACGTGGCAGTTACCATGCGAGTTACGTGGGGCGCTTAAAGTACTTTTTTTTTTTTTCTACTTTGAAGCCAAATACCATTCAGTTCTGCAACACTGCTGCTTTTTCTTTTTTTTGTGTTGGCTTGTCTAAAACTGTAAATAACTGTTCTAGGCTGGTTCATAATTATTTGGAAAAGATGGATGCTGAATATATAACAAGAGTGCACGCACATTTGTCTTTCCCTGGCAAAGTTGTATGTCAGAATAAATGATCTCATTTATACTTTGTTCTAGAATGAAGAACTGGTATTAAGCAAAGAAACCAAAGACAAACGCTTAGAGGACGGTTACTTCAGGATAGGTATGTCACAGTGGAAAGAAATGTGTATTGTTACTATTGCAACATTTAAGACATTTTCATTAAAATCAAAACAAACCTAAAACTGAGTTTTGATCATTCATTTTTGGGTACGTGACCTTGTAGGCTTTACTTAATATGGTTTCCAATATTTCTTTTCTGACACTGATGTACTAAACAAAGACCTAGTGTGACTCTTAGTTGTAGTGCAGCTACATCCGACTCCTCTGCCAGGATCGATCACCTAGATTATCGCAGAGGCATCTCCAGGCTGTGTAAGATCACCTCTTCTGTCGCGTGACTGCACAAGTGACTCTGTGTCAGCTGTTGGGCTTGGCCTGGATTTGAGCTCACCCTACAGACACTCAGCTGTCTCATCATGGGATGAGATTGGCATTTCCATAGCCACGCAGCTGTTGGGGAAGGTGCCAGGATACCTGTTGTCAAGGAAGAGAGATTTTACTCATGGGTTGTATTTAGCTTGCTGGACATAGGTTGGGCATCCCTGTTGCAGTGAAAGCAAGTTTTTTCATCTGAATGAATTGCAGTTTCTCTATAGGTTTTAAGTGTAAAGTCTTAACTAGGCTTTTAAAGTGGATTCTTATTCATCCTAATATAATTGAAGATCCTTTAAATAGGAATACATTATGCATGAATGATACCCCTTGTCCTTAATTGTCCTTGAAAACACATAAGCCAGGGTCTCCATGTTTAGTTCCATGATATTAAATGAAAATCTGTGCCAAAATCTTCCCAGAGTTTAAGGTGCTCATACCCTTAGACAGCTCCAAAGTTTTTATTCTTACATGTAGTCCTGTTCAGATCAGTGTGCTCTGATGATACACCCTCATCCTGTTTGTGTCTGAAAAGCTGAATCTGATATCAAAAATGGCTGGCTGTCTTCTGTTTTGGGAATGACACCAGTCAGCCCTACAGCCACCAGCATAGGTTTCACTTGTGAATTGCGATACTACAGACACATTTTTCTGGACACAGCTTTTGTGCTTTAGTTTGTCAAACAGGAGTTAATTGAGGATATACTTTCGCTTCTTTTGCAGGGAAATTTGAAAACGGTGTAGCTGAAGGAATAGTTGACCCCAGCCTAAACCCTATTTCATCATTCCGGCTTTCAGTAATACAAAATTCAGCAGTTTGGGCAATTCTGAATGAGGTGAGAGGTGGTATAACCTTTTAAAAATCAAACTGGCAAATGTGAGATTTCTTCATTCTGTCAGTGTGTTGAAGCTCAGAATTTTGGCTAACACTGAAAACAGCTACCTCTTATTACTGAGAAATGTAATACCCTAAACCATGACTTTCTTTTTTTCTGATTCTCTATTTCAGATTCATATTAAAAAGATTACAAACTGATCATGGAAATCTGCTTTAGAGGAAAAAGAAAGAATCCTTGAAACCTTTTCCTATAAAATCTGACATCCTTAGCAAGTCACAAATTGAAAATACTGAGCATGCACCTTATTCCAAATTTCTTTCATTTTCACTCGAACTCTACCTCTTGTGAAATCTACTGTAGATGAGAAGATTGTATTTACCCCTTCTTATCTGATCCATCCAGAAGCTGATGCTCCACACTGATAACGTTCGTCTGAGGCCTAAGTTGTCCTCCACTTTAACGTGACTTTACCATCTTATGGTTACAGAACCCTGCTATGCTTAACCTGTACTATTTTGATAGTATAGTAATATAGAGAAGTTGTACATATTGTTACATTCCTTGAAGAAGAAAAAAAATATAATTATTGTTAAATATGTTTTATGAAGGGGGTACTTTCGGAGTTCCATTTATTTTCTATAACAAGAACCCTCTTTTATAGACTGTCAGGGATATATATTAAAAATGTTAGGGATATTTAATTTATTAAAATAATTTGAAAAGTACATATTTTTATGCAGTAAAATTTTAAATTGATAGTTTTTTTTATGAATTCTCTAGTTTAAGTTATCTTTCTACATTTTTCTTTGGAGATGCAAACATAAATTAATACCATATTTCAAATATACTGCCATGTTTAAAAGAACTAGATTAAGTTTCTAAATTATGTAGTTTTGTACACAGAATCTGAATGATGTTCAGAGGCGTTAACAGAGTTCTGAAGAGCATTATTCTTTGGGGCTATGAAATTCCACATGTACAGTTTGTAGCCACATAAAAAGCATGCTGAAATGTCTTGTTTCATATTATGTACTAAATCTCCAGTGATTTTAGATTGAATCCATTGCATTTTAGAAGAATTTTTTCGATTCCAAACAGTTCTTTCTAAAAATCTTTGTAGACATTTCCTAGCCTGGACACATTCATTTTCTGTACTGAAAAAAAATAAATCATTCTCCAGCTTTGCTTTGGAGTGACAGAGGTTACCTTTTATCAAAAGAATTAATAGTAGGTAGGTACGTTTGATCTACAGAGGTTTCCTTTTAAGAAGTTCTGTTGTTGCAGCATTTATTCTAGATACATTACAGTGAGTAGTTACAGTTTATTTTTATTTTCTTCCATTGTTCAAGAAAAAGGTTTCAGTTTGACTCCTTTATTGATCGGTGCAGTAACCCACACTAACTTTTAATGGGAACTGAATTTGGCCTCAAGTTAGTACCCTGCTTTTTCATTTCAAGGGAAACAAGAGTGATCTTAAATGAATCGGAAACTCGGTCAGGAACAGAAAGTGGTTTGGATTAAGTCCAGGGCGGAATCGTTGCAGTACTAACGCTGCTGCTGCTCTTGAGTCCTTCTGCTTAGGTGTTTATGTGTAAGGACAGAGGCATGGGAAGATTTAAGTTACCCAGTCAGAAATGGTCAGGGAGAGGCCAAAATTCCTCTCTTTAACAGGACATCTCGAAAGCTGGCTTGGTTTTCCCTGTGGGAAAAAACCTCTGTTATCCCCAATATCTTTGTGGTCAGGGCACAGATGCACAAAACCTGTTGTGGGGTCCCTGATCTAGAGCGGGGATCTGGAATTCATATCTCCAGCATTAAAGTTCGACTAAGAGATCTGGCCTGTTTTTTGTGACCCATTTATAAGGAGCAGGAGCGTAAACCTGACTCTCCAGCACTGCAAACCATCACCACTGGGATATAGAGTCAACCTGTCTTCTGCTTTGTTGGCAAATTGTGTCGTAGCTTTGACAGTTCAGCAATATTCAAGTTTAAGAGCTTAACTACTTCTACAGACCATAGTCCTTTTTGTTTTAGCTATGTTATCTGGGGAGCCGGGGATGACAAGATTTGCACGCAGAGATAAGACCCCCTGTTTAGGCTGACTGGTGTAAGTTGAAGAAAAGTAGAAAGCTGCCAGGCAGGCCTTGTTTACTTTTTTCTGATCGCATCAGATGGTGTAAATAAAATGTTACTTGGAAAGCTCGTCTTGCCCATAGAGACTGTGGGCATAAGCTAAGCACTGGCCTCGTAGATGGAGTTTATTCTCGGATTTAGGAACGTGGGTGAGTAGGCTCTGAGTCCTGTGTGAATCCAGCCCCGTTTGTTACCTGTATAATGCCATGCCGTCAAATTAGTGCCACGCAATGGCTTTTTATCACACCTTAGCTAGCAAAGGTCTAAGAAAGTATTTAGGTTTTCTTCTCAGCTGTGCCTGTGAATGAGTGATGCAGGTAATTTAAACTACAGCTATTTATTACAATTTAGATTGCGGAAATATGTTCGATACTACAGTTTCTTAATATAAGTAGTTTTGCTGACAGTGACTTTCATCTTTTTCTATGAATTCAAAAGTTTACTGGTACCACTTATTTAAGCAAGTGGTGTGCTTATTCTGAAAGCATCACTGTTCCTGATGTTTCACAGTAGTTAAGATGAATCATTGCTAATATATTTAAATATGTAGAACCCTTACCATATTGACTGCAGACTCTGGTTAACAGTATATTTAGTTTTCAAAAATGTTGAGATGAAATTTATCAAAGACAACAAATTAACTAGTGCTTGGTGAAATATGGTGTGGTGTTTTTTGTTTTTTTCCTAAAAACTGTTGCATTTTTATTACATTGTGCTGGCAGGAGTTGGAAATACTCTGGGCTGCTTTAAATGTTCCTGATCTTATATGCTCTCTAAATAAATATGCCAGATTAATACAAATTATGTTTCATAGATTCAGGTAAATTCATCCCTGGTGTTAATCAGATAGTTCTGCAAATTTGCTTGGAAATTTTGCTGAGAAATAGAAAAAGCAGTGAAAATATTTTCTATATAATTATTTCTGCAGACAACTATTTTGGGCTTCCTGCCTTTCAAATTCCAATCCCCACGTCAGGCTAAAGTGGTGCAAATCTCCTTCCTGGAATTATGGTGAGATAAGAACACTTCGGCTGTTTGGCTCAACAGTCCTTAGCTTGGGCACCGTTCATGAGTGGGTGTGCTCCACAGGGGCTGGTGTCTCTTACACGTCCCAGTCCTAAGTTACAGTATTACCACAAGAGTTCCTCAGCATCTTAAACCTACTACCTGATTTTTGGGAGGTTTTTCCTACATGCATTTGATTTCAAGTTATTTTTGTTGTGGCCTTCAAAATCCCCTCTAGGCCACTGAATCTTAGAGTAATCAAATAATGGAAAGCGTTTCAAAATAAACTGCATTATCCCATGACCTGTTAGCTCCTTCTGATGCTGTTAAAGCTTCAGAAAAGAGAACTTTTGTGAAACCAAAGGCATTACCGGAAACCTTTATTATCTGGGCAAATTATTCTGAACTTCTTCTACTAGATGCCAAACAGACCAGCTAATATGAGCACTGGCTTTTCTGAGCTGATCAGGATTGCTCTGGACCAAGGAAATACAAGACTGTCAATATAATCTTGCTTTGCTCATTCAGTGGGTAGTCCTACTGAAAACTTTGTAAATAATGTGAACAGGATGTGATCCCAAATTAGCACTTTTAATTTTTTTAATTAAAGAGTGTTTCTAAAGCACTGTATAAGGCTTTGCGCTTTTGCAGGCATCTCAACCATGTATTTGCATTGATAGAAAATACTCCTGTAGATAGGTTGTTTTTTCTTAACTGAAAGATGGCTTAGAAAAATACAAACAGCTGAACATATGATTCATGGACCAAGGAAAGACTGGATTCTTCCGTCGTATCGCTGCTTGTCTAGCTGTTTCAAAAGCAGTTTTTAAATACCTTGAGTCAGTTTAGAGCAAAGCAATTTACACTTTGCCCATGTGATGCACAACTCCTTGAATGGGCTGGAGTGTAATTAGTCTTTGGCAAAATTAAACAACTGTGTAACCTTTTTCCTTCCTTTTTTCAAAGTGTATTATCATTTCCGTAATCTCTGCTTTTTGTTGGAAATACTTGCTCCAGGTGAAGTATTGTAGTAATTTGTAGTTTGCTTCCAACTGGGAAAATACTATTTTAGTCTTGTGGGGTGGAAAAAAAAGAATTAAATCTCTTATAACTTGCTCCCCTGAAATAAGTTAACCCTAGGTTCTAGATTTGTTCGTACTAGGAAGGATGTATTCTGAAAAAGTTAAAGCAAGTAACGTAGTAGAAAGGGAAAAAAAAAACCTTTGTTTTTTAAATTATCATTAAAATCACCAGCATAATGCCAAAAGGCTATTAAACAACTGGTGTTTTTAGGCTAGCATTGATTGCTGATGTAAAAATACCACACACACCCCCAGACCCGATGAATTAATTAGTCTTTGAGAGGGTCGCTTTTCTGACTTTAGTGGTCTCTTAAGGGTTTTGCTGATTTCTGCTGTAAACAGTGAGCTGCTGGAACTTCAAGTAGCTTAATTTTGAGAATGATGAAGCCTTCTTCCAAGGGGACAAACTCTGATCTCTCTGAAGGGAAGGTACCCAGGCCCTGAGTTGTTCATTGATTTCAATGGTATTGCACCACAGGGCACTAAATATGAAGTATTTTTGCTGTTGAGCTGAAGTGGGTGATCGCTGGGGCTGGGATTCCTCTTAGGGAAAGGGGTAGAGTTAGGCTGCAGCTGCCTGCAGGACGGGAGCTCGTGCTGTTAGCCAGGGTGGGGGCAGGTCCTGACCGGAATCCTTCGCCTTCTGTGGGTACAGCCCTTTCCTTGTTCAAAGGGGAGCGTTGCTCAGCATCTGCTGAGAGGGGAACACGATTCTCTTCAAGCCTTAACAGTGGCTGAAACACACAGTACTGTACGATGCACTGCCAGCATATTTGGTATTTTAAGATAAATATAGCTTTTCCTTAGCGATCAAATTCTAGTATTGAAAGATTAAGTCTTACTGTAACCAGTTTACTCTTGTGTTGCTTCGGAAACCGAATCCTAGTGCTCGTGTTTCATACTGAACACTGCTTTTGAAAGTTGTCACCTTCATTTTCCAGCAGGTATTGTTTGTGACTGTCAGTTTATACTCCTGCCTTGTGGACTTTACAGCTGCAGGCATTGCCACGAGCCCACCCTTGTAGCCAACCGAAACTTGTATTTCCCTTCCGCCTTCGTTGGCCTGCCGCTTGTGACGGCAGAGGTAGTAATACCTGCTGCGCTGCCAGACATTGGGTTTAAAAACTTGCTGCTATATTTGCAAACCTGATAGGGGTCATGTTAATTGTGCCTTTCATCACTGTTTCTTCTGTGTGCCAGAGTTGTCCATGTATATTCAAAGTAGTCATTAAAAGAAATCTCAAGTTCTTTCATAAAAGGAGGGGACAGTTCCGTATCAGGAGACAGCTGTTGCTTTACCATTGCGACACACAGGCCCAAAGGCAAGGTATTCCGGTATTATTCTTAAAGAAATCTGCTTTTTGGTGTCACTTAAAACCCTCATAATGTAGAGCTTATGCCCGTATGTGCAAAATATCTGCAGTAAGAGTTACGCTAAATAGACTTGTTGCAGTTAAATTTAAGCTACAGAGATGTACATGTAACTTGTTTTTAGGAATGTACTGCAAAAGTATTTGAACAAAATTGCTAACATGTTTACTGTTGTAAATATTTTAATAAAAAAAGGACACTTCAAACTTTTTTTACACAATTATCTACAATAAAGAGAAATTTACAACCATTTACAAAATGTTCTTAAGTTTTTCTTTACTGTCAAGACAGCTAAGATAAAAACAAAATAAACATTAGATAGCTGAAGTCCTGGTTTTATTTCACTCTGTATTTATAAAAGGAGCAAAGCATCTTGGTGAAGTTCCATCCACACGCTAATGAGATCAAATAGAGCATGATGAGAAGTGCAAACGGATACAAAAGAACAGCTGTGTTCTTCAAAAAGGGCAATGCTGAAACAGAAGCCACAAAGAAGCAAGTATAAAGTAGCGCTCTTTCAAAAAGGTGCTTCAGGTACAACCACCTTGGAAGACAGCAAGAAAAAAACAGATCCCAGGTTTGTCACGTCAGCCCTACCGTTATTACAGAGCACCTCAGTTAATTGGTGTAGGTAATGTCCCAGGAAACAGTTTTACTTAAAACGATAGTCTTAAACTCACTACAGCAGTTTTAGCCAATGCAAACATTTTGAAGTGGATTTACAGAGGAACAAGAAAAACAAGTTGAGGTGCCACAGGTCTCACACAAGAAGGGAAGTTGGTATGGTGAAGAATATAAATTCTTTGGTTAAGATGACCAGCCAGCTGAAAACATGGATTGGTAGATTTCTATCACACTTTTACCAGGAAGAAAGGATTACTTCGCCTCTGTTTTACAAATTAGTAGACTAAGATCAAATTAATAGGCTGCAATCATGCTCTTGTTTTTAGTCAAACAAAAAGAGTTGCTGTTACTCACCACTGTATCCTAGGAATGTCACATAGATGTAATAGCCAATTGCAATCAGCCATAATGTATTCCCAACAAAATACCCAACGACGGAATCGGATATGATGACATCTGAAAGAGACAACAGCTCTCAGCTGTTTTGATAGAGCATGATTTTGAAGCAGAGAGCACCAAATATTCTACTTACAGTTGATGAAAAACAGCTGGATAAAATGCAAAATGACTAGAAGTGGATAGAAAGCATTCAGATGAACATCAAAGGCATATCCCCATTCCACATCATAGTCTCTGTTCTGCTGCTTCACCAAGTACTTATTAGAAATGAACCTACAGGAAAAGATATTTATGTTGTTAACGTGAACCTACAAAGCTGCCTGACAAAATGCTGGCTTGAGACACTAAGCCATACATGAGCCTAACTCTGTACCCTGAGAAAGTTTCTGCTATCTGGGAGAAAAATATGCAAGAATTATGCAGACCGTACTATTGTTAAAACATCTTTTGTTGAAACTGTAATTACATCCCTTGCATGCAATGGGAGGCTGAAACACAATGCTGGTAACACAGAAACAAAACTTTTTAAATAGATCAGTGCTACAATTTATCAATGCAGTCACAAGTTCTCAGGCAGGGTGCCACCTCTGTTTGCGCACACAGGGAGATGGCTTCAGAAAAGTGCTTGTACATCATCTCTACATCTCACCCAGATATGGTTTATCTCATCTCTACAGAAATGGTGCCCTGCAAGGACAGAAAGAGGGCACAGCAGCACCCTTACAGTGAGCTGCTTCTTACTGCAAAGAAGCACTAACAGAACACACGTGCACTGCCTGGTGTTACAGGCTACGGGACAAGCCTCAAGACTTTGCTTTCTTCAGCTGAAATTCTGCTGACATGAGAAAATTTATCCCATTCAGAAGAGGAACAAGAAGTCGATGCATGTTCAGAAAAAAGAAGGTAAGAGATCAGAGCTTTCATGGTAGCTTCCTCTGACATATTGCTTGTGCCAAGGGCAGAGTCAGAAAGAGGCAGAGCCTGGGTGCAAGGTGAAACAAGGCAAGAAGGCGTTCAGACTCATTAGGAATGGAGGGAACTTGGGGGGGAATGGTCAGCCTGCGCTGGAAGAAGGGACTTGCACCAAACTGGAACTGGGTGACTGGTATCGAGGCCTGCAGGAAGCTGACTAAAGGAGAGAGGAAAACCAGCAGATGCTGAAGTCTTTCTGGTTCAGGAGACTGCACCCAGAGCCACCAGTTGCTGGAGGATGGGGCAACCATTACCATATGCTCTTCCCCAAACAATTTATGGGTTGCTGTCCCGGACAGGAAAGTAGGTCAGATGAACCTTTCATCAATCGATCAGCTACGGTTCCTGTGCGTGCCTCATCCTAAATTTTGCAATTACAAGCAGGAGTTCCCAAGGTCACTGTTTGAAAGGAATCTATCCCTTTTTCCAATCAGCATCAGTTTAAGATGTCAGCTCCATTACTAAGGACTCTCTTAAGTGTCCTTGCTTCCTTAAGTTCTTGGTAAAATAAAAATTCTTTCTTTGGTGCCCTCCCCTTGCCACAGTGCAGGAACAGTGACGTCCTGTTGTTCCATCATTCTCTTGCTGGTGCAGGACACATCTTTAACGTGCTGAGGCCTGGGTTACAAACTCACTCGCTATTGCCTCTCCCCTTCTGTAAGTCTCTGGCCATGACAGGATAAGACTGGTAGCGACTGCCACCAAAACAACAAAGCCAATGCACTTGAAATAGAACAGACATTGTGTGTAGTGGAAACAGCTAAAATCTTCAGCAAGAAGCAGGGGCCAATTGTGTATTGCCCTACTTAAACATAATCATCCTCAGGCTTACATTACTTAAGCTGTTCAACCAAAACAAGGAATGAAGAATTTTTTTTTGATCACCGCGTTTTTTATTTGGCATTATCGCTGAAGATTAACCAGCTGAAGAAGAAAGAAAACAAGCTGAAATGTTCATCATAATACAAACTTTCTGAATGTTCATCTTTTGCAGGAAATAGTGAAGAAAAAGATGTGTTCTTTTATACAGCAATATTTTGAAAGAATTACCACAACAGCACAAAACCTATAGTCAATACATACTTCATAATTTTGCCCCAAACAGAGAACCAAGTGTCTTGCAAACAGCAGAGGACTATCCGTGTCCGAACAGCAATACTGAACTCAGTTTCAGACATCATTACTTACCACATTAGAGTTGCAATCAGGAGGCCAACACCTACGCAGTCTATGAATACAACCCAAAGTAGCAGCTTTATTGTTTCAAAAAACCCCATGTCCAGCACAAATCCAAATCCTACAGTAGACACTGAAAGGAGAAAAAGATTATTTAAGTTAGCTGCAGAAAAGAAAGTATGAGATCTTAAACTGATATGTTTTTTGAGCGTTCTGTTACAAAATCTCCAGTTTTCTTCTTATTTTTCTCCCCTAGATTTTCAGTCCAGCAGCTCATTTTTTTTCTACCAAATACTAGGTATAATGCAATTTATTCATAATATAATCCCTTTCACAGATTGGGCAACACTCATCTGTACTTGGGCTTAATGATAGAGCTGGAAATCATATTGCTCCGCCTAAACTATTTTTTAAAAATTCAGACAATGCTACAAGAGAATATTCTGTTTTATACGAGCTCCTTGTTAACCCAAACCACGTGTATGGTGATACACGCTTTTATTTCCCAATTAACAGTTCTGACATTACTAACGGCAATGTGCTATATAGAAGAAAACAAATAGGATGATACTTATTGCATTTGCAGTTCAGTCTAGAAATTACGAGACACTGTTTATTGCTTAATTCTGCAATATATACAGAATCTCACTAGGGTCTTTATTGTAAAAAGAGTATTTTATCTGTAACATTCAGATAAACCAAATGTTCAGTATTTTTTAACTAAAGCATTGCTGTCTGGCACAAGGTTTCATTACTGCCTGTAAAGTTGTAGGGAACTACATAGTTTGAAATGCAACAGAAAATGAGTTGCAATAGAGATAGTATTAGTTACCCCTCCTCTGTTTTCCAATTCCCACCTTAACTTCCAAAAGGTTAGGCCATTTTCAACTATTCTACTTTGATTAAAAGATAATCCATGTGGATTGGTCTTTTTTTTTTGCGTGTGTGTGCTATTGGAGGGGCCACGAATGTTCATCCCTAAACTTTCCCTCCCTCTCTTTTATGCTGTCTATTCCCCTGCACTCACCGCAGAGCCAGATACTGAGAAGTACTAAGAAAGCAGGATCATCTCTCGCCCATTGGTCCTTTGTTTGTTTTCTGTAGTGAAAGTTCCTATAAACTCTCTGTGGTGAAGTAAACAGGTAAAGCATCTGCCAGAGAGCAAACTCAAAGTCCATCTGTCGGAAGTGGAAGAGCCTCCGCAGGTACTTGTAGCGTTTTGCTCCAGCTGTGTGCCTTGCAGCATCTCTGGAGCTCAGCGCACCGTTGCCCTGGCTCCGAGAATTAACCGAAGTGGTTGGCAGCATTTTGCTAAAGAAGAAATTTCAAAAGATGCCTTTGGTTTTGCATATAACGAGGACTAAAAATAAAATCACGCAATGCAGGCCGCATCGGCAATACTGGAGTTATAAAAACTACACAGAAATATAAACTATGACATTTACAGGCGAGGCTGCCATAGCCCAGCAGTCACTTTGTGGGAAGCAAGTGGGAAACTAG